ATTCTTAACCAAGCATAACGTAATTAGGAATTTTATTCAAGTAATTTTGCATGCGTAATTAAGATATTTGATGAAAACACTAGTGACTTTCATCAAGTTTCACCGGGTTATCCAAATGGTATCTTGTGATCAAAAAGGTGATTATCATTGGCTGAATTGCTCATGAATTATTAATGAATTTGAGAAGTATATACCTGCGTTACCACTGTCACTGACGAGATAATTAATTTATTTCATTCAATGATGAATGATTGATTGAAAAAACTCCTATAGTATTTAATATCCAATTATTTCAATTACCGGTATTTTGTTTTCATAAAATGAAAGCAGATAAAGCTGGTATGATGTTATCATCAAGTTGAAGACTAACCCAAAATGCAAAATAGCATTTTAGTCATGATTGAACTAATATATCGTGACATCGTATATTTAGATTAATTACATATAGGAAGTACTATACCAGTGGAGAAAACTTAAAAATGATATTTATAACTGTTTTAGAAGAATATAAATAAAGTGCACGCATATACTAACCTAAATTATATAATTATGCTTTTGCAGAGACTGCACTGAGTATTTTGATTAAATTATGTAATAACTGACATTAACTGTGATTGACTAAGATTGTCTGTTATATACAAATGAAAGGTATTAAACTCAAGAGAAATGATGAAGCCTAGCCTGCTGCGCAGGTTAGATGAACCCAACTACACACACACACACCGACTGACACTTTAATAAAATTATATTGAAATATACATACTGCATGTGTTATATTATTTTAAAATCCTCATTAATAATTCATAAGCTTATTGGCAAATCATGTCAACCATAATATGTCACGTGCAGTGGCTTTAAACCTGATAAAACACTCCTAATTAGTATTCTTTATATAAATACTACTAATAAAGTAATAAGGCAGTATCTATTGTAGTCGTGTCCTCATTAGTATTTTTTAGATAAAGAATACTAATAAGGCAGTATATCTATTGAATTTGTAGTCGTGTTTGAAGCCGTTTAATAAACTCGCAGGTCGTGTTTTATTAGGTCTAAAACCTAATAAAACACTCCTGCTCGTTTATTAAACAGTACTTAAAATCCTCATTAATAATTCATGAAGAAAATTCAAAAGAAGTGAATGTTTAATCAATGTTTGTAAATCGGAAAAAGATTTGTCCTGATTTACCGATAAACTTCAGCTTTGATTTTCTCGGCTTAGACAATGTTTATTTTTAAAATTACTTCGCCAATGAACTCATACATAAGATGCATGGGTCGTTTTTTAGTACGTTAAAACATGAGCATCCGATCTTTATCTGATATAGTGTATAAATACAGGTAGTGTTGCGGGTTAGAACATGCATAGGGCGCTTTCCATTTAATGGTCTGACCGGTCAGACCTGAATTTTTGTCTCTGTATCAATGGAAAGATCTGGTCTATGTTTCTCAAATATCTAGCGAAAATGGACCTCGCCATCATTCTAATGTTATCTAAATTTTCCGGTCAGATAGGTCGGAAGCCCAAATGTTTTGTGTTCCATTCAACAATTTGACCGTTCTGACCGGTCTGGCCGTGTTAATGGAAAGCGCCCATAGTCACATCAGGGCCTGGTCACATACATGCATGTGCTCTCATATAGGCGTATCGACATAAAAAATGGGGATGGGAGGGGGGGGGGCACTACTTCGCCGACTAAGACGAAAATTGCCCGACTTTAAGAACCCAAATTCACACGTTGGGCCATCATACTCTCATGTCTGTATTACAAAGGCATAATATCCATTTGACATTAACAAAATTGTCCAACTGTTGCGAAAATTGTTTTATCATTTATGCCAAAGTATATCCAGCCCTCCCTTCCCCCGCCTTGCACGCCTACATGTGCCACTGCTACACGCAGTGACTTGAATTAGTTAAAAGCTCACTCCTGGATGAAAGAATTCCCCAAGGCACAAGTGAGCATGTCTATAGTCTTAGAGAATGGTTGTATCCACGAAGGGATTTCAGTTATATTCACTTAAATTAATTCTAAGAGGGCTTTAGTATGCCGGGATTTAAAGTCCGAGTGCGTTTGGAAAGAGCGAGCCTTCCTAAGTCTCCAAATGCACACGGGACGTTGAATCCCGGTAGCCTCCTCTGTCTCGTATTCTTAAAGTTGCCAAACTTCTAGTACTTTGAAATTATGTAAATTATTTGAAAGTATCCTGTAAGATGTCTTTCTCTGTGGTTTCAAAACACTAATTTATATCGATTTAATAAGTTCTTTGTACGTTTACATGGCGATAAAACATATAATAGTTTTGTTTGTGGAAACACTACGTATATTTATTACTGCAAATTTACGTGGTGTTTCCACAAACAAAACTATTTAAATCAATTTATTGGACCATGTCCAAGCGGTAGAGTGCGAACGGGACTCAAAGTCCCATGCGAGGCACTCCCCGTTACAAACTGTAAAGATTTCTTAAATATTTACATTAATAATAGCTATGAAAAAACATATGCCAATTACTTGAGCACCAACCAATTCTTAAAACCGCACAACAGTACCGGTTTACACACAAACGATCGGTTGGCCGATTTCAGGTATTGCCGAATGTTAAAATGACAAAAGTTATATCAGTTGACAACACAGAGTAGACAGATATACAGAACTACAACTAGTGTACCCACCTTTTTGTGCGCGTGCTCGGCAAGTTACTAGATGCACGCATGCATCCCATTGGATGGCGGTTCGATTTAACCGCTCGCGGAACTTGCCGAGAACGCGCAGTTGATAATTTTCTTTTTACCCGGTCGCCTGAAAAAAAGTGGGTACATGAAAACGTAAGTTTCCACAGCACTTACGACTGCCAGTTACAGCTCTGCATGTGTCCACTCTGTGGTTGACAATGTCGTCAGATGACATTGACAGCGTATTTTAATATCATTTAAATAAAACTGAATCCAGCCTGAGCCAAATCGGCCCGACCAATCGCTATGCGCAAACGCACCTTAAAGAATTTTTTGGATTGAGTATTAAATGGGAATCCAACTACTTTAAATTCTTTCACAATTAAGAATGTGAAAGAACATAGAGAGTGAAACACAAGCAATACGCATATGTTTTGTTCGAACTAATTCCTATGGCATGAACAAGTTCGATGTAATGACCAGGTACAAGTCATATCTACACCAAAAATAGTAGTAATTAAATGTAAGTACGTGCTTGACAAAAACGATTTAAACATAATTAAACTACGAAGGTCTGCAGGCGAGGCTGCTTTACACACACAGTTCCAAAGAGGGACGATACGATTAATGAAGGACGACTGAAAAGTACTTGTTTTACACGACGGAACTTTAAGCATAAGAAAAGGATTTTCACAATTACGAGTACGACAATGGCTAACAAATGACACATAATCAAAAACATTTAAGTCGTAATATCCATGCAATAACTTGAAGAAAAACGTTAAATCCTTTATCTCTCTATCGTATGTTAACGGTAGCAGGTTGAGGGCCAGCAATCGATCTTTGTATGTAATGTCACCTTTCTTCACTTGGAGGATCCATCTCGTGGCGCGTCTTTGTAGTTTTTCCAAGCTAATTCTCTTAAGCGACTGATACGGAGACCAGATCTCTGTGGCATAAGATAGTTGTGATTTCACAAGTAACAGGTATAAAGTTCTTCGAGCATCGCAATTCGTTAACATGGGACAAGTTTTCCGTAATAAACCCAGCGTTGAATTTGCCTTCGTAACAAGTTTTGTAATGTGCCTATTCCAGGAGAGATTACTGGTAACGGTGATCCCTAGATCAACTTCGCTATCTACGCGTATCAATTCTGCGGACCAAAGATGGTAATTTAACACAATCGGTTGTTTACGTCGGGATATTGTCAGGGCTTTGCACTTAGACGTGTTGAAGTTAATGTTGGATTCCTTACTCCAATCGTCAACGTATGACAAAGCTTCTTGTAGATTATCGCAATCCTGGCGAGATGTTATTGCCGTATACAGCTTTGTGTCGTCAGCATATAGCCCTGTTGAAGTTGTTGGAGGTATTACATCAGGGAGATTATTGATGAATAGAAGGAAAAGCATGGGGCCTAAGATACTCCCCTGTGGGACACCTGAGGTGACTGGAGACCATTCTGAAGCAACACCTTCGACAACAACACGCTGAGTACGTCCACGTAAATAGTCAGTGAACCAATTGTAAAGGTTGCCTGATATACCATAAGCCTTCAGTTTCTTCAATAGGATACCATGATCAACGGAATCGAAGGCCTTAGCAAAATCTAGAAAAAGAACGTCTGTCTGGATATTTCTGTCTAGTAATTGTCCAATATGATGTAGAGTGGACAGAAGTTGTGTCACGCATGATCGTCCATGGAGAAAACCGTGCTGTGCTTTATTGATCATTTCCCGAACATGATCGTAAAATCGATTGCAAACGCATCGCTCCAAGACTTTGCTAATAATGCATAACAGTGATATGGGTCGGTAGTTGGTACCAGGTTCTTTCTTATCTTTCTTATGTACTGGTGTTACATTAGCGGATTCAGAAGGTACAGTTCCAGAATGAAGAGAATGATTGAAAAGTGAGCAAAGGCTTGGAGCAATGACAGAACTACATTCCTTTAGAACCCGACCGGGAATGCCATCAGGACCAGTGGCTTTAGATGGACCCAAGACTGATAGATGCTGCACAACATCTTCTTCTGAGATGGTTATATCTGACAATTGGGTAGAGGTCAGCGGCAAAGAGGTGGATACTTCAGGGTTCACGGTAGTTTTAGTTGGACGAAACACAGAATATGTATTGAAAAGTTCTGCTTTTTCTCTTGGAGACTTCGCTATATGGTTATTAAAAGTTATAACAGGATTTAGAGCGGAACGGAAATTAAGTATTGCTTTATGATATTTCCAGAATATTTTGGGTTTTTCCTTGAACGATGCTTCGATCTTCGCAAGATATATTTTATGTTTAGCTCTAATTGCATACTTGATCTGCTGACACAAAGTACGCAACTTGAGTTTTCGTTCCGCTGTTTTGTTCTTTCTATAGTTCCGTAAAGCAGTATATTTCTTACGTATCAGATGACGAACTTCGCCATCAATCCAGGGAGGAGAGTTGGTGTCCTTCACAATCTTAGTTGGAATAAAACTGGTGACGATGGATAAAAAATTGTCCTTCCACAGCTCCCAACATTTGTCGATATCGTCCGTGAGAGGTATGTCTAAACATGCTTCAGTCAGAGCTCTACGTAGTGCAGGAAAGTCAACTTGTCTGTAGTCATAAACCACACGTCGCACAGGTTTTGCTCTTGTGAACTTCGTACATATGCTGAATTCGATGATGTGATGATCGGTTGGGAAGTTGTGTTCGTTAGAGGGAGAGGTTAGTACATCTGATATCGTCTCAGCCCGATTACAAAACAACAGATCAAGCTTATTTCCAGCACGGTGGGTTGGACCCTCTATAAATTGATGCAGAAAATTATCTCTTATAAGTTCACAAAGGACGTCCCCATTCACACATCCACCAGAATTATTTGGAGTTGAACTATTATCTGACCATGAGGTAAAAGGAATATTAACAACTAACACGATGCAACTAGATTCCGGATTACTAAGCAGTGAATCGTTTAAAAGATTAAGACCGTCAGAACAAGTACCAGGAGGATGATAGTATACGTAAAGAATGACCAGTTTATTGTTCGCTTTATTGAGTTGTACAACCAATAATTCAATACCATTTCTTTCGAGGTCACAACGCCGAGTAGCTTGTAAGCCTTCTTTTACTGCAATCAACACACCGCCGCCGATCTTACCCATTCTATCTTGTCGAGAGATATTGAAGCCCGGAAGAAGTTCTGAGTCAAGGATAGTATTGTTTAACCACGTCTCGCAGATACAGACCACTTCGTAATGATCCCCATAAACCAATTCTTGAAGTAAAGTTATTTTGCAAACTTTGTTGGAAGAGTTGTTGTCAATAGAGATGAAAGACTTTATACTTCGAGCATTTAAATACAGGACTTTTAGATTGTTATTGTCAGTTCTACTAGGTGGAACAGGACCAGGGTTGGTGGCGATATCCATGTAAATGGTTATATCTATATCGGGATCAAAATCAGGAGGTGAGGAACATAGATAACCGTGTTTGTTCCAAGTGGACTGATGACAGTGAAGAGGAGCAATAACACGTTTGTTGAACTTGCGGAATCGATTAACCAAAACAGGCAGCAAAGTGAAACGACTGATATCGATCGATCGTGCATTGATTACATCACAAAACCCAGAATCTGTATTCACGCAGTTATGGCAGCACAGATCAGGTCTAGAGGATATCCAAATGACGGCCAAAGTCACCAGCCAGAAAGCGATCTTGTTCGAAGGACATCCAGTAGATTTACGATACTTTAGATTCATTTTACAGGTAGAATGAAAAGATGCACGCGCAAAATGTTTGAAAAATCCGCGAAAACTTTAGTTGCGCGAATTTCGTGAGCAAGAACCGTCGAGGATGCAAATTACGTATGTAAAAATTTATTTAAAGACGCTAGCCTTGTCAACAAATAGAGTTGATTTCCACAAGGGGCGTCGACATTTGAAAATTTACAAAAACTATTTACAAAAAGGACAAATATAAGTACAAATACATGCAATATATATAGTAATTAATTAGAATGGTTTAAAAAGAAGTTGGTGGTTTGGTGTGATTTGGCCATATAAATATGTCTGTAATAATCCATTTAAATTAATATTAGGTTAGTTACTTTGCCTTACAATATTTTTAAAAGAACATATTGATAGGGCTTCCTTAGCTTCACCAGGAAAATCATTCCATAGTTTAGCACCACTATATCGAAAACTCTTTTTCAGAAAGTCGCGTTTTGGCTTAGGAACGGCCAGATCATTCTGAGCATTTCTGAGATCGTAAGTCGTTTGCGAAATATTCCTTTTAATCAAAAACTCTTTCAAGTTCGGCGAACTATGGTCGTTTAGAATTTTATAGACAAGAGTTGCCTTAGTTAATTTTCTTCTAGATTCTAAATTGTCCC